TATATATATAGTAAACTTCGAACAGATGCAGTAGTGGTAAGAACACGGACCTATTAGTATTAAATAGGTCCATGGTAATAGTAAGAGAATATTCCATCGTGAATTTTATGCTGTAGTTAATATTTCACTGCTTTTAACTGATTTTTGGCAAACTGGTTTAGGCAAACTGGATTCGGCAAACTGGGTTCGGCAAACTGGGTTTCGGTCAACTTGGATTCATTGCCTTTGAGTCAGGAAACTAGCACTCGGCAAACTGAGATTCGGCAAAGTGGTCTTGGCAATCTGGCATTTGGCAAACTAAATTTCGACCAGTTGGCTTTGGTCCTAATAACTAAACCAACGACTAAATGGAATTAATGTTGCTTTTACAGAAGGTAACTTCATAAAAGCAGTTTGATGAGTAGACACTTCGTGGTAAGGGCAAGGAAATCTTTGAAATGGTCAGACTTCAACAAACCTTCAATAAACGGCAGCACTATAGTCTTTCTCTTCTTGCTACAAGGGTTGGTAATCCTGTAACTGGCAGGGCATGGTCAGTGTAAATATTTGCAAGCAGCCTAAAATGATATTCAATGCTCTCTTTTGTACGTTTTTAATGACTTAGACATATGTTGAGTAATAGTACCATGCCAAATAGGGGCAGCATACTCCACAACAGGCCTAAGCCACATAAACAGTTAAAAAAATAAACAGTTAAAATGCTTTTTTTAAAATTCATAAGGAAGACAACCTTCGAGAAGTTCATGAGGTAATAATAATGGTATTAGGTTTTCATTTTTAAAGTTATTTTAAATGATAAACTCCAAGGAGTTTCATAATGATTACCAGCATCTAAATATATGTCATTATGACGAAATGAAGGTGATTATTAGTAGGTTTATTTTTACGAAAATTAAAAATCAATAGATGACATTCAGTTGGATTATTGACTATATTGATGAAAATACAATAACCACTTAAATTATAAAACAAGGACTGCATGGAAGGCATTTCCATATACGTAACGGTCCCACCTAGAATAAGATCGTCCACATATTTTCCTCTTTTGCAACAATCAACACAAGCATAGTTAATGAGAATCAAAAATAACACCAGACCAAGCAGCCTCCCTTGGTGGAAACCACAGGACAATGACATGTATAGTTAATTGATCCTTGCAAACTTAGTGTTAGAAAAACGCTCAGTCAGAAAAGTGCAGATGATGGGAATTATGGACGATCTCACCCCACGTTCAATTAACTTTCTAACCAAAACTGTATGTTTTACACGATCGAAGCCTTGGTAAAGTCAATGGCACACAGGTCGACATAACTTCCACACATTCCAACACTCTTTAAAATGGTGTGGATAAGACGTGACTAAATAATGGATTGTAGAACATTATTTTTCTATTGCCAAATCTGGCATCAATTTTTGCCTAATATCATCAAAAATCCATTTAACAACAAATGATGATACACCACATTGCGCATCTCATCGACTCACAAGAGAAATATGAAATTCTAATTATTTGTAATATTTCATGTTTTGCAATTAATCAGCAATTGCATATACTATCGTTTGATCATTGGCATAACCAATCAATTTTAGTTCCTTAAAAAATGTTGTTGATCGTGTAATGACTTTATACGATCAACAACATGTTTAAAGTTGTTGATCTTATGACTTTAAAAACATACTGAAATTGATAGGAATATTGACAAAGAACCATTTAATTATTAACATTTTCATTAACCTGATAATTTTAAAAGGTTTCTAGGATATTGGAAATATGATAATGACTTATTAGTCAACGCTGATTATCAAAGTGCTATATAAGAAAATTTATTATTAAAACTCAAAACAATGAAAACACTCTCGGC